GGTACATTTTAAATATTACAGGACATTAGACAACCAGACGCGACAGTCGACAACTAATCGAACTGTCGATGAAAGGGCATTATTAGCCACAAGATGGGCAACCTTGTTGTACAAACGAGGAGTAAAGTAAAAGTGCAAATTTCTTCTAGCAAATTTCTTCTAGAACCACACCACCAGCTCCATGGGCCGCACCCCTCTCCCGAATCCGACGAATAAGAGGTTGACAATCACCACAAAAATTAACAGACATAAAACCATGCGCCAGACACCAGTTTATCGCATCACGGAGGGCTAATAATTTAGAGATGAAGGGGTCAGTTGTACCTGGGTAAAACTTCCCGAATGCAAAGAGAAGCTCACCTTGATTGGAAAAGCCAGCAAACCCGGCTCCTCCACCCACTTCCTTCTTCCAAGCACCATCGAATCTTACAAGAATCCCCCCCCCCCCCAGAAGGGCAAACACCATCCTGCAGAATACGGGGAGGCCCCTGACGCGCACGGGCTCGATACCAGCATGTCTATCACCATCCATGTGAAGCATGAGAGGGGAAGCAGCAAGATGCCACTCATCGACTTGCGCCCGGAATTGTCGAAGAAGAGCTAGTCATTGTATTGAATCTGTTTGTGGATCGCCCAACAACGAGATTTCCACACTCGCCAACAAAGGAACACAACATCAGCAAGATCACTCTTTGTAAAATGACATGAAAAAAAAAAAGAGTAATCCAACAATCCAAATGGGAAAGACCCACCAGCCGGCGGCGAAGGGAACCCAATCCTGCGAGATCCCAAAGTTCAGATGCTACACAACAATGCAAGAATGAGTGCAGAATAGTTTTCGCACCCACTGAGCAGATTGGACAAGTGATATCCGTAACAAGACGCTTGACCTGCAGAACTGCACGTACAGGGAGGAAACCTCGAACAACCCTCCACCAGAAGAACTTGAGTTTAGGCGGGACTGGGAGGCTCCAAAGTAGCTTCCAGAATCTGCAGTCATAAGGCAATGGAGGGGGGGGGGGTTTAACAACAAGTAGTTCATTAGAGAGCACATGATACCCACTTTTGACAGTGTATTCCCCATTGGGAGAATGGTGCCAAATGGTTTTGTCTGAGCAGGGGACCAAAGCCAAGAGAATAGATATGATTAAGCAGACCGAAGCATGGATAAACAGACTCTCAAGTAGCGGGACATTCCAAGATCGAGTAAAAGGACAAATAAGTTCTGAAACGAATATGGGACAATAAGTTACATCCTGCCGAAGTATGTGAGAAGAGGGAGGAGTAGTAGGAAGCCACTTATTTGATAGGATTTGAACTGAATTTCCGTCCCCGATCCGCCACCGAAGGCCTCGAAGGAGCAGATCTCTCCCTGCTAGAATGCCTTGCCAAGCCCAAGATGGCCTTGGATCCGATCTTGCCTCTAAAAAAGAAGAATGAGGGTGATACCTAACTCGATATAGCTCCGCCAGTGTTGAGTGCGGATTCAGGAGAACCCGCCAAGCTTGTTTAGCTAAGAGGGCTATATTGAATCTCTCGAAGTCGCGAAAACAAAGTCCCCCGGCAAACTTGCTATAACAAGCCTCTTGCCATGAGAGCCAATGCATTTCATCCTCTTTGTCCTGATCAGCCCACCAAATTCGAGAGAGTTGTTCATTTAATCTGCGATAAGTGAAGGAGGGAAGTCGAAAAGCAGGCATAGCATAAATAGAAGTGGCAGAGCCAATGGACTTTATCATGGTCTCCTTCGCTGCCAAAGACATGTGCTTAGTTTTCCAAGACCGGATGCGACTAGCTAACCCTTCTTCAAAAAACCGGAAGGTTTGAGTTTTAGACCGCTGAATATGAACAGGGAGTCCAAGGTACTTATCAAGGACATTCGAGTCCCCCACTCCAAGAAATGACCCCAAAGCTGCTCGTTCCTGATCAGAGACATTAGAGCTAACAACAATAGAGGATTTTGAAAGATTAACCTTTTGCCCACTTACACTTCCAAGCTCATCCAAGAGGGAAAGGAGGGCAGCACATTCCGGCAAAGATGCCCTCAAGAAAAGTTATGTATCATCGGCAAAAAATAAGTGAGAAGTCAGTGGTGCAAATCTATGAACACGTAAACCATGTAAGTTCGCAGCCATGATCTCACAATTAAGTTTTGCTGTGTGCGCCTCTGTATAAAGCGCATAGAGAAGAGGAGATAGGGGATCACCTTGCCGTATACCTCGTTGGGGTTTGAAATACCCATGGGAGTGGCCGTTGATTAGAACCGAGAATGAAACCGTGCTTATGCAAGCATTTATCCAATACCGCCACTCATAACAGAACCCCAGCTGCTCTATGATCAGTAATAGGAAAGACCATTCCACTCGGTCGTAAGCTTTTTCCATGTGGAGCTTCGACGCCATCCATTTATCCCGACCCTGCACTTTGGTTTTCAAATATTGCATAACTTCTTGGCCAATGAGAATATTGTCTGTAATCGATCTACCACGCACAAAGCCATTTTGGGTTGAGCTAACAATGTTAGGTAAAATTCTACTAAGGCGGTCAACCAGAATTTTAGAAATTATTGTGTAGAATACCTGACACAAACCTATGGGACGAATCTGCCGCATTGATTCAGCATTTGAAACCTTCGGTAGGAGTGAAATCAGGGTATGATTGAAGCTATGCAGTAGTCTGCCGGAACTGAAGAAATTGAGGACAACTGAAGTGATGAGCGAACCCACAACGCCCCAACGAGCTTGGAAGAACGCTGTTGTGAAACCATCGGATCCAGGAGCACGATGGTTGCCGATCCTAAAAACACCATCCTTTACTTCTAATTCCGAGACCGGGGAAACCAAGAATTCATTCATTGCAGCAGAGACCTTGCTAGTAATGCCCAAAGATTCGACATACATGGATTCATCAACATTGTTAGATGTGAAAATGGTTTGATAAAAGGTAATAGCTATACCTGCCATGGAATCTTCATCATGATGGAGAGTCCCAGCCTTATCTCAAAGACCACCTAGGCGATTGAATCTCCGCCTCTACAGCACAGACCGATGGAAGAGATTTGTGTTGGCATCCCCCTCGTTCAGCCAACCAACCCGAGATTTTTGCCGCTAGTAGCATTCCTCCTGGAGATAAGCAGACGAGAGATAATGTTCTAGGTGATGTATGGCATCCCAATCAACTATAGCAGCCTCGCGGAGCTCCTTGATAGCACTCTTAAGCTCTCTTATATGTCGGGCTGAATTGGATGTGCCCATCCGAGCCCATTCCACTAGATCGTGCTGAGCTATTTTGAGTTGGGTGAAAGCCCGGAATTGAATAGACCCTCGTGTAAGCTTGGACCACGCCCCTTTAATTACTTCCACAGCTTCTGCATTAGTGTTCTTGCGACTGTCGAACTGAAATCTTGTGTGAGGTTGGCGCCCCTGTTTGATAAGTTGCACCAGAAGCATGCGATGGTCTGAACCTAAATCAATGAGATGGATTACCTTCAACTCCGGCCATTCGGACAACGTCAGCGTACTCCCCAAGCAGTGATCAAGATGCTCCATGATGTGAGCACCACCCGCCCGATGATTCGACCAAGTGAAGGGTGAACCCTGAAAGCCAAAGTCAATTAACCTTGTACTCGATACAAACTTATTAAGCTGATCTAAAGCTGCTAAGGATGGGATATCCTTCCCCCCACCCCATCTTTTCATCCAAAGAGAAAAGGCAATTAAAATCCCTTACAACGAAAAAGGGTAACGAAACCAACGAAAGCAAATGTTTAATTTCATTAAGCTGCCCCTGCCGATCAGCAGAGTCACAAGAGAGATGAACAAAGATAATTACAAAGTTCCCCACAGCAGGAACTAGACACTCAACAAAACAAAGAAAAAATGAAAGTTGATGGATTGTACACACTACATGATCTAACCAAGCTACGGCCAAACCTCCACTACCATTGGAGGCACTAAAACATCTCACTAGTTTGAAACCTATGCTCTGCAAATTTGGCTTTGACAAAATCATCATCACGTTTGGTTTCACTAAGGAAGATGATACTGGGTAAGAAGCTAGCCACGCCTCCACCAAGCGAGGGAATCGTCAAGGGGGAGTCCATCCCTTGACAATTCCACACCATGAAGGTCATAGGCCGGGTTGAGCCCAGTTGAGGCTGGAGGCCACCTCCTTACCAAAATCAGAACCACCGAGCTCCATCGACAGAGACGATTTTGCGCGCTTAGCCGCAGGGGAAGCCGAGTTGGGAACAGAATCCTCCTCCATGTTGGTGTTTGTCGCCGCAGAAGCTAGGGCTGGATTGGAGGAGCCCGATGGGATGGAAGCAAGGGAGAGAGCCTGAAACTTGGAGCCCATCAAGCAAGATGGTGGATGGCGGGTATCCTGCCACTCCTCCCCCTTTCCACATTCCTCAATGGTTGGCAGCAACGGGCGATTCGGAAATTCCCACCTTTACTAGGGCGGGCCGGGTGCTTCGTGGCAGCACGAATCCAGGTAAAATGCCGACGCCGACGCCTCCTCGAGATAGTATCCTCCGTCACCGGTGGCCCTGATTCAGTCGCCATCGAGAAGATGTCGTACTTTGGAGGAGCCCCAGACAACTCCTCCTTCCGGGGACAACCCACCCTTATGTGTCCAATAACACCACAAAGAAAGTAGAAGTGAGGAACACGCTCAAGCTTAACAACTGCGACGAAGTTACCTCTAGTCAGATCGACGTGCCCAACAGTGATCTCGTCAGGCAGAGGGGCAGTTAAGTTGAGTACCAGTTCAACCCTCATGTAAAGCCCACCCGAAACCTAAGAACGGTGGAGAGTAGGGGAATCCAAGAGCACCCCTAGAGACGATCCCAATCTCAGTGCCATCTTATCGGTGAAGCAATCAAACGGTACCTTCCAAATGTGAACCGCCATTGGAGCCCAACGAAGTTGCTCAGCCACCTCAGGAGAAGGGTTAGCCTAGTGTGACAACACAATCATGGAATTGCAAAGATTCAGGGTGAGTTGGCAACTGCCTTGCAAAGATCAGCTTGCTCCGAGAAGAGAAATTGAGTCAAACCCTCATCCACGTTGGAGAGGGTTAGGTAACAAACTAACAACACATACAAAATACATAATAATCAAACACCCGGCCAATCGGCCAGGCCCGGCGCTAGTTATTAAGATATGTATTCATGAACTTGGAACCGAATCAGTTAGGAAGCAAACGAAATGAGGAAGGGAACTAAACTATCCTCTGAGCACAACAGAACAAGGGATCAAAAAGACAACAAATGAGGGAAACTGAGAGTCGTTCTATTAAAGACTTCCAAAATGGTCAGTCGAAAGATTTACAAGGGTTCCTGTGTTCCAGCTAACAATCCCTCCACACCCAACAAATTCCAGCATGACAAAGCTCTCCACTTTTCCCTCAGAAAACCCAAACCCGATCATGACGATGTTCGCCATTGCAGCTCGATTTGGATCTTGCCATGCCTCGAGTCGATGAGATTGTACTTCTGGTTGATTCTCTTGTTCGAGACCACGTCCGCCAGATTTATGGTCACGTGCCCCAGAACTTCCTGTGCTCGAAAATTTGACAAATGAAACAAATGTAAGCATCCAGTCAAAGGAATCAATATCGCTTACAACCTACTTGGAATCAACAACTGTCAAAGGTTCCTCCAGCACAAGAATTAGAGGAATTTTTTTAGTGGTGAACCCAGAATTAGTTGATGAAATTGAAAATACAAAGAACTCAGATTCCATTTTTATGAAATTGATTTTAAACATACTGTTAGATTTGAAGCCAGCAATATGGGATCAAAACATTAGTACCTTAGGGTGTAATAGACCAATTCTCGACGAGACGCTAGCAACTTCCACATGGAGCTTCTCATTTGTCGGCGGTTCCTCCAGCGTAAACTGAAACTCCTCGTCCCATCTCGGATCACGGTTTTTCTTCACATGCTGCAAGCAGAACCATGTTCCGTTATTGGGATCCAAAACATATATATCAGGCAGCTTATGAGTCATTAGCGTACCTTGGTTTTCCTCTCCTCTCCTCTGAAAGTAAGCTTCGCATAAGGGTTTGTGTGGTTCTTCCCTTCGACATCTTGCGCTTCATGTATAATGATCACCAGCAAGCCTCCACCAGAAGGCGTTCCCTCAGGAGCTTTCTCTACACCATCAGACTCTTCAACAGCATTCGGCATCTCATCTTCCTTGAACGGTTTGTACAGCAGCTCCACAACAAGCTGACCACGCGATTTCTCATTCTGAGCATCGTTTAGGTCCATATTTTTCAGCAGTTCGAGCGTCATGACTTTTGACTCTTCAGGTGTAAGTTCTTTCAATGGGATAACATTCATTCCCATCTTGTCATGCTTACCCACCTGAGTAGATCATAGCCGTACAGGTTAAGAAATCATGAAGAAATGACACACATTCAGATTTAGAAATCAGGTTTGGAAACCAAGTTTAAACTAGAAATCATCACATTAGTGATATAACTCATGGTCCAATCGGTTGCAGGAGAAATGAAAATAACATATTTTTTGTAGTAAAACAACAGAATATTTTTATCAAGTACGTCAATAAGTATAATAATACTAATAAGTAATATAAACTGTATCATCAAAACAATGACTTGTATATACACAATTCACAAATCACAACTATGAGTGGATATACTATAAAAAGATATAATGTACAAGATCTAAACCACAACCAAAAGATGGCAAAAAACAAAAAAAAAGTGAGCGTGTGTGTAATTGATTCACAAGTAAAATAGCTACTTCTGAAAAAAAATTCATAAAAACTTTTTGTGTTCACTGATTTTATGGTAATATCTGACAAGCTGCCTCTCTAGATCGTAAAATCCTAAGATTTTCAGAACCAAATCAGGATTTGGACAAGGAATTTGAAGTAGCATACCTGCTCCCAGTCATAAACGAGAAGCTCCAAAGCTTGAGATTCGGGGTCTTTAATAACCAGATGGAATTCCTCGTTCCACTCGGGATTCAAGTTCTTGTGTCTGACTGTAGTTTTCTTCGAAGGCAGCTTATCTTCAGTGAGCTTTACCTTTACATAAGGGTCTGATGCTCCCAACAGATCTTTCTTTTTAAGTTTCATTGCACGTACAACCTTCACGGTAAGAATCCCAACAGGTTTCCTCATGGCCCTGCCGATTTTGATAGAATTATCAGGGTATTATTAGTGACACAGCAAACGATAAATAATTAAACAATGCGATAGATGAGACAACTTACTTAGAAGGATCCAGAACAGGTACGACCAAGGTTTTGGGCCATAAGTACATCATTGCAACTTGGTCTTTGATAAGTTCCTGGATTGGGACATGGTGACAAGATCAGATGCTGACTAAAAAGAACAAGAACTTTTACCACGGTATCATATTTTAAACTATTTAAACAGAATGCATTACCTGAACAAATCGGTAAAGTCCAGGAATGGACATAACGTCTGCTCCAAGCAATTTCAATCCAAAGTCAACATGTGGCTGCAGAAAAGGAGAATGGAAACCAGCCGGCAAGGAAAGTGAAGACAGGAGAGGAGGGAAATTGAATTCTTGATCACAACTACCAAGTAGCTGAACCAATTGTAGATTACCTTTTCCATGAGAGACACAAAAATATTGGCGAAACATGGGAAAGTAGGGACCAAGGGCTTAAGTGTGATTCTTGGAGAAGCAAAAACTTGCAAATCAATCACCTGAAACACACACGACACGCACACAACGGTTCAGTACTACTTGTAAGTGGGAGCATAAGAAATCTCCTAACAGCTAATTATAAGTAAAATTCAACATCCCAACTAGCCAGGTCACACACTTGGACTGTTGCTTTCAAGCCAAATGCTTTGACTCCAACTGTAATGTTAGGATTCCCGGCCCACTTCACCACAGGCTCCATAATCAACTCTTTCTCATCAGTGACATAAACTTTCATTCCTGGATGATGACAAATCAAAGAATAAGCACCTCCAAATAGATTTACCTTAAAACACATACAACATGAAGCGAAAAGTTAAAAGAGTTAATAATAACAGCAATGTCTGCCACCATCTTAGCCAACAGTCTGTCGAGTTGAGAAATGAAATGAGGAATGCACCAAGGCTATCTTATGCATACTTTATAAGTTTTGAATTTTTTTTTTTTTTTTCTTTTGAAGGACATTAGGTCATCCACACCTGGACTAAATCATGTTCGCATGAAACATTTCAGAGTTCTAAAACTATTCTTTGACCTTATAACTATGTGACTTTCTACACAACATAGAGAAGAATATTACCTTGAATGGTTGGAGGTAATGTGCCCAACGTAAGCGCTTCGAATTCAACTGAATCTATTTTGTACTTGGGGATTTGCTCAGCAATGATCGGCTTTGCTATAGTCTTTGCAGTCTTACAAATTGCCTAGAGAAACCATGAATCATCAATACACAGGCCCAGAAAGAAAGGCAACACCCCATAGGATTGCGTCCAAAGATCCATGCTAGTACAGATCCCATACCTTATCCAAGTAAGGCCACATATGTGCAATGAACTTGTTCAGCCAGTCAACCTTCATTTCCAAAACAGAACATAAACACCATCAGAAAAGCTTGTTTCCAGGAATTCATGAAGAGACGCTATCTCAGTTCATCATACATACGTTCAAGAATCAAGAAGCAGAAACCAGAAGCTTACTCTGTCGTAGTCCGGATTCTTCACCCACAAGGGTATTTCCGGGAACATCCGCTGCAAAGTCTCCGAGTCTTGCTCAACCAGAGGACGAACTACTGGATCCTGCAGAAATTCAAAAGAAGGCCACATAGAAAGATCAAGATCTCGGGACTTCCCAACTTCCCCCATTGGAGAAAAAAAAACTGAAAAGATTCGAAGCGCGAATCTAGTCCCATTATAGCAGGCAAATTCGAAGTCTACTCACGAAGACTCAACAAATGCTCAAACCAAAGTTTGCATAATGAAAGATATATCCAAGCAAAGCGAAGCTGGGGCTAACCTTGACATCGGAGGGCTGGAAGTAGATGAACATGAAGTAGCCAATTGCGCAACCGATCGAAGTCCCAACTCCGAATCCGAATAAACCCATTATCGTGCTGATGATACCCATCTCGCCGGGCGGAATCACGGTAAGAACTGCCGCCGGCGCCGGGAAGGAGACACTTCGCGCTGCTTGAAGCAAAGCGAACAGTCGCCGAAACGCCCAGGTATTAAGGAAACCTGGATTTTGCCGTCGATTTCTCCTCCTCTATATCTCGGTTGGTTCTTTGTTTTCGGTTTAGTTTTTTTGTCCTCTTTATCCGGAATTGAATGAGGGGGAAGTGTAATAATCAGAGAAATGTGGCGCAAATTGTCCGGAATTAAATTAAATGAGAAATTGAATTAAACTATATTTCCTGCATGTTTCAGCGAACCGGTTGAGGTTTCTTGAGCTGACGCGCGGAGCCACTATGAAAGGTCCTTCGGTGTCGGCAACACGGTCTTTCCGTGGATAGAGAAAACGGCTAAGCAATCAAGTCCATAAACTTTGGTTTTTAACAAATAAGTACCCATACTATGTTTCTTAGTCCACTATTGGAAATTCCCTTCAAACTCACAATGAGATATTGCTAGAAAGTATTATGTTAGCACAGAAATTTGAAGCCTGATAGGGCAAAGAACAGTTCGAGATAACTGACTTCTGGATGGCAAAAGATGGTAAGCCGGATTTGGTAAAGATTAATTTGGGATTCCGGAATTCTAAATGATAAAATATGGCAAAATAGATAATTATTTTCTTTGTTTGGAATTTTTTTTAAAAAAATAGAGAAATATAGTAAATTTTTGTCACATAACACTTGTATATCTATACCTAATAGTACGTAACACATGGGACATAATGGAGAATCTACAAAATTGGTTACTTGCCAACTTAATAAGTTTTTGTTTGATGGCTCCTCGACTATTTATATGATAAAATTTTCTTTTGTCTCTCGACATAGCCTCGTCATGCATAATAAACAAGTGCATCATAACGAACGAAAGGAGAAGGGGGTGATTTGCAAGTAGAATCAAATGATAAAACACAAAGTTTCAACATATATGCCACATCTGGATTATCAAGAATCGATGTGCTTATTAAGCATGGGTTAACCTCCGCAGCCATGGATTTACATGAATTCTTATCAAATTAACTAAAAATGAGTAAACATAACATATCAAGAACGTTGATAGAACCTGGGATTAGGGTTCTATCGAGAATTGGGGATCTAGGGATTTAGAACAGAATTAGGGATTTGAGAAAGATAGATAGAGAATCGGCCTAGGCCTTTAGAGGGATTGGGAACGAGAATTGAGAGGATTAGGAGAATAGGGTTTAGGAAGGCTTTTCTTAATATTCTTCTTGACTGATCATGAATGAAAGACCAATTACATATTTATAGCAAAAGACTAGAAAAACCTAATAGACTATCCTAATGTGACTCAATGACTTTTACCATATCTAATAATATCCTAATTATAGTAATAATAATTATTATGATAAATCCCAAGAATTGGGTTTCTATCATCCCCTCCCCCTTCAGACCAACCTTGTCCTCAAGGTTGACCGCCTCGACCCATTTCTTCACATCACCCGTGCATCCCGCGCTTTGTATCCTCTACTCCTTGCGCTTTCTTTTCTTCCAATCATGCTTCATTACTCGAACGAATCCCACTCCAGCAACTACGACTCTCGTTACTTCTTCTCTAACCACGTGGCTCATGACGCAACCACGAACAAATGACCCTCCACCCTCCTTTTCAAACTCTACAAAGTAAGAATGTGAGAGTTGTTCTCCCTTGAGCCCATCATCTAAGCCCACCAACTCTTTTTCTTTTTCTTTCAAGCTCATACCATAATAAAGAGATTCCAATAAACAACCATGTTGAAGCCCACTTGAGACTTGCAGAGGCGGCCCAGTCTCCAGCTTCTGCTCGATCTTCTTCTCTCTCAGCGGCGGCCCGAAACGTGGCCCAAACGGAGCCCAATTCCCTAAATTTCCAGCCCAAATCGGTTGGTTCAGCTGGCCCAACCCGGCCCATCCCTGCTGCTTTGGCCGCTGCGAGGGTTTGCCCAGAGAAGACCAGCCGCCCTCCCCCATCTCCTTCGTCCCTTCCTCCTGACGCGGACGACCCGGCCGGCGGATCGGTGACGATCCCAGCGTCGTCACGCCCACCCTCTTCTCCGGCGATGCAACTCGGAAGCCATTCGCTGCCTCAACCCTCCTTGCTCCCTCCTCCCGTGACGCCTCCATCTTCGGCGACGCACAAAGCTCCCCGCCACCTGCGTACCACGCCGTCTCGTCAGCCTTGGTCGCCTCCTCCGTGCGACGCGCCCGCGTCGCTGCTACAACGTCTGCTGCCTCCGTCGCCGAGAGCTCCCCCGCGTCGGCGCCCGCGGCCGCCTTCTCCTCATCGATCATCGCAGACCCGGACAACCCGTCGCACCCCCCTTCCTTCGCCGAGCCCGCGACCACGGCGCCCTTCACCGCCGCGCTCTGCGCCTCGCGCAGCCGGTCCGCCGCCACGGGCTGCTGCGCCTTCTCTTGTCGTGCCGTCACTGCAGCCACGACCCCGCGGTCGCCCGCCGTCGTTGGCCGCCGCGCCTCGCCTTCCGCTGCCAGCTCGAGCGCCGCCCCGCCGGGCGCTGCCGCCCCCTCACCGACCGCCTGTCCGCCGCGCGGTGTTGTCGCCCGCGCCTGCACGCGCGGCCCGCCAGCTGTCTCCTCGGGGCAGTCCTCCTCGCACGCCTCAACTTCCCGGTTGGCGCAGAAAGCGTCAATCCGCTGCAGCAGCCGTGTCCAAGAGGGATCAGAGAGCCTAGCAGAGCTCATGTTGGCTCTGATACCAAATGATAGAACCTGGGATTAGGGTTCTATCGAGAATTGGGGATCTAGGGATTTAGAACAGAATTAGGGATTTGAGAAAGATAGATAGAGAATCGGCCTAGGCCTTTAGAGGGATTGGGAACGAGAATTGAGAGGATTAGGAGAATAGGGTTTAGGAAGGCTTTTCTTAATATTCTTCTTGACTGATCATGAATGAAAGACCAATTACATATTTATAGCAAAAGACTAGAAAAACCTAATAGACTATCCTAATGTGACTCAATGACTTTTACCATATCTAATAATATCCTAATTATAGTAATAATAATTATTATGATAAATCCCAAGAATTGGGTTTCTATCAAACGTGTTTATATATAAAGTATAATCACATCCTAAAGACTTGGTTGTTAAAACAACATAATATAGGGACTACAATGTCGTTGACCCAATAAGAAAATCTTTCCCTTTCTCAAATCTTTATTGCTAGTGACCCTATTTCTAATTGGGTCTATCTACTATTTGCTAATTTGGAGTCTTCGGCCATGTGGAGCCGTCGAGCCATTGCCATGGACATCATCATCAAGTTTTTGTTGCTACTTTCCATCATCACACTGCCCACACAGAGTAATTGATTGCGACTCTCCATTCCATGCTTCCTTTTTGCCCCGTTCAATAGGATTAGGTAGATTCGAATCGGATAAGTGAGTTTAAAATGCTAATTAATTGACAATATTGTAAATTACTTGGACAATGTTGAGGAGATTCGGGGTAATCTTGTTAGGAAAGATAAACAGTGGATTCTGAGGTCATGAAAATGATCCATTAAATTAATGGTCTAACCCTGTTAGGAACTGGATTCCTATTTGCAGCCCTAAGTTTTTAAAATTTCAGCCCTAAATAAACTGAACAGACAAAATTACCCCTCCCCTCCAACCCTTTTCAATCGAAGCCCTAATCCCCTAATCTGTCTCGCCGCCGCCGTCAGACCTGGATGAGCGCCGCCGCCGCCGTTCGCACTCCCGTCGCAGGAAGCCCAGGTCCCTCCAACCCTTTTCCATCCCCTAATCTGTCTCGCCGCCGCCGTTCGCCCTGGATGAGCGCGCCGCCGCCGTTCCCTCCAACCCTTTTCCCAACATCGAAGCCCCCTCTCCCAATCGCCGTCCCGCCCTCCCGTCGCAACCAAGGCGTCGTTCTCCCTGGATGAACATCGCCCAGCTCCCCCGTCGCAGCCAAGCCGTCGTTCGCCCTGGAATTCCGAGTTCAGTCGTTGTGGCTGCTGCGGAGCGAAGGTGAGGCATGACAGAGACCACCGCCGAAGAGCAAAAGAGGTATCCAACCGCATTTCCGGCCCAAAATCTGCGGTTCCGGTCCCGGGTCTCTCCGGCTCTGGTGTCGACCTGATACCAGCAGCAGCTCGTCGACAGAGGGGAAAGAGGAAAATCGCGATTGGGGCGATTGCGGCGTCGACGAAAATGTTTTAGGAAGGGAGGTATTGGGGTGATTGGAGCGACGGCGACTAGGAGAGGTAGGCGATTGGAGAGACGGCGACCAGGGGGAGCGACCAGCAGCAGCGGCGCGACCAGTTACCCAGCAGCAGCGGCGAAGGCGTTAGGTTTAGGGCGAAATAATTTTAGGGATTGAGAATTTTTTAGGGCGAAAAAGTCAAATTATTAAGTTAGGGCGGAAATTTTTAAAAACTTAGGGCTGCAAATAGGAATCCAGTTCCTAACAGGGTTAGACCATTAATTTAATGGATCATTTTCATGACCTCAGAATCCACTGCTGCTGGGATAGTGGATTGTTGTGAGGTCAGCAAATCAAAAAAAGTAGACAAAAACTATTTTGTGGCGCTCACGAACTGAAAATGAGCTGACAGAAGAAAGAGAGAGAGAGGGAATACAAAGTTCTAGGAAATGATGAATATGCTTTCTGTTTTGTAGAAATATGTTTTGTGATCAGTATGAATATGTTTTGTGTTTAGTAAAAATATGTTTTTCAATACGTGGTATGTTATTTTGAATAAAAGTTATGAAAATTACGAATACGCATATCATACATGAATTTTTTTTTCAATACGAATATGTTTTTCTAATGTGTATTTTTGTTCAGTACAAATATTATTTTTTTTTCAATACAAATATAAGTTTTGTTCAACCATACTATACATATACAACTTAGTATGTGTAAGTTAAATTTGATTGAGTACAAATTAGAAAGGAGTGTTTAGAAATGCTAAATGGTTACCAAACCTGCTTGAACCTAGGCACCTTAGCACCTTTTGTACTCAAGTATTACCATATTTTCGTAACAGTACTTTCTCATAATCTCCCCTGCCATAGGGTCTTCTCTTTTTCCTAAACACACATAGAATTGAAAACAATTTCTAAACTTTAGCACTTATAAAAATTTTCCCCAAAATATCTAAGTTATGAGTGGTTCGAGTCCTTGTAACTCGAACTACTAACTGGATCAATGATGTCAGCCTCAAATCATGTGAGGCTGAAGTGGTTCGAGTTTGAGGAACTTGAACTACTCATTTGAAATTTCCAACAACTTTAACTTTGTGCTCGGTTATCCGCTCGTAGTAATATTTTTTTTTT